TAACAGAGAAGTTAACAAATCATGTGTTTTTTGTTTGTTTGTATGTTGTTTAACGTCACTCTCGAGAATTTTTCACTCATATGGAGACGCCACCACTTGCCGGTAGAGAGCTGCAAATTTTGTCCTTTACTCGGCACTTACGGCCATTGAGCAATGAGGGATCTTTTTCGTGCCAGCACCTACTACGACACGGGACCTCGGTTTATACGGTCTCATCCGAAGGACCGGTCTCAACGTCCCACAGTGGGATTCGAACCCGCGACGTAAGGATCAACTCCTAACGCCGCGACTCTAGAGCAGACGCTCTAACCACTGCGCCACGCAGGCGACACAAATCATGTGTAACTCGTATGGAGTTTAAAGACAAAGTTAAGAAATCATATCAAAATCACAAACTTTTAGCAGTTAAAGTTAACAAATCATTTCAAACTCATATTCCTTTGTTTCCTAAGTTAATGACACATGCCAGAATCGCATGAAAATCATAGCAGACTCATAGACAAGAAACAAACCACATCAGGATCATACTTCCCTATTTGTCATCTATGATTTCCGTATGATCCATTTAATGGATCATGTCTAAATCTTAGTTCAAAATCATAAATTTGTGAGTTTGATATGATTTTTATGTGATTTTGGCATGATTTGTTAAAAAAAAAATTTTGTTTGGGGGGTTGGGGCAGTTTACGCTTTATAAACCGCGAAGCGGTTTATAAAAAAGCGTAAACTGTTCCAGTCCTACGGAAGCCCAATAGTGCAAACCAAAAATAAATAAACAAAAACGAAATTATTAATTAAAGAAAACGAAATTATTAAATAAAGAAAAACGAAATTATGAAATAAAGAAAACGAAATTATTAAATAAAAAAGCAGACGAAATTATTAAATAAAGAAAACGAAATTATTAAATTAAGAAAACGAAATTATTAAATAAAGAAAACGAAATTATTAAATAAAGAAAACGAAATTATTAAATAAAAAACTGAAACTAAAATACGGAATTTATAGATGTGCATGGTAAGGGCCTGAACCCATGAATCATTCCATAAAGCGCACGTGTTCTATGACCTGATTTTGTTTCGACATTAAAACAAGTGTGATATTTCCATTTACACTCAGCTATTCCCGTATCGATAACATAACCAGTTGAAGTAGACAATCATAATAGATGAATAGGGGAGAATTTTACCTTTGGTTATCCAATATGCTTAGATCTATGTTTTTATCTTACATTAACATGATTAATGTGAACTTAATTTGACCAGTCTGATGAATTGGCCAGTGATGACAAGTTTATGTTAGTATTAGCTTTCTTAAACCCTCAACTCAGAAGGTCTTATTATTAGCAAACAATGAATCTGGACATGAAACATCAAAGAGATTATGCTAATAAATTGCACAAATATTTAAGATATACATGTCTGTTAAGATTCCGTTGTTTACAACTGCTGAGCCTTATAACATTTAGGAAATTCCCATGGTTATACATCTTTTTTTTCAATTATAGCACAGTACAAAAAATGCTGTAAAATGATACGTTACCGATCGGAACCCATTATAAATTATTGTATAAAGAGAGCAAGTGCAAAAATTAAACAAGACAAAGTTGTTACAATGAGTAGATTTTAATGATTGCTTACTTTATTAAAAATTAAGCAAAACACCTCTAATTTCTTGCACAGGCGCTCCCCATGTAATTCTGTAAATGACGAATGATAAGTATATATATATATATAGGTCTACTCCTCAATACTATAAAATCAACAAGGTTGATTTTATAGTATTGAGGGGTTGACCTATATATATATATATATATATATATATATATATATATATATATATATATATATATATACTTATCATTCGTCATTTACAGAATTACATGGGGAGCGCCTGTGATTTCTTGGTCATTTATCAAAGCATAATTAGAAGTGATGCACTAACTATTTGTTCTCACATATTCTAAATGACAAATTCTAAATCTGTATTCATAAGTCAGTGATAGTTGTGAATAAACAATGCACACACTTGCATAACAAATCCAACAAGTATTCAAATCATTCTCTTTATTGTTTCAACAACCTAAGATTTATGGGTACACAGATAGGGCACTAGGTTTAGTTCGGGGGGAATTCAGCGATACGATACGCAAGGCCTTGACCTTTCAGCGATTCATGAGCTCTTTTGGAATGTCATTAATTTTATGTAAGCAGAAACAGCCATCCTCGCTACGTCCAGGCTTACAGGCTCAAACTTTGACGTTGGGTAGAGTCTATAACATAACCCAGTCACGGTTTCCGGGAAAATTATTTCCGGTATGGTTTTCAAACATACAATTTGCTTTAACACCGAACCCGATTGTATTTTTCGTGACATTGAGGCGGGAAATCCAAGTAAGGAAAAGTTCGAGGTATTGAATGCCGTTATCCTTTCATCTCAGCAACGGTATGATATGGTTGAAGAAACAAGGTAAGAATGTTGTATGAAGATAATTATGATATAGTGAATATGCGGTATTCAAGAAATTCTCAACACCTGGATAAAGTTTTGTAAAGATATAATCAGTGATAATACCCGGATTCAATGAGAGAGGGTGCCAAATTTAGTCGAGTGTTAACAGTTGTTTTATTATTATTATTTTTTTTCTTATTCATAGTGACACTTGGAAATATCTGTTCGATGTAAAATCAACATCACTATCTGGGTATGTGACATCTTCCACAAAATTGGACAAGTTGTTACAGGAGTATGATTATGCAACTTTCTCTAGGTTCCGATGTTTAAAAAGTTCCAAACAATTTGGAAAGGATGTTGGTAAGGTCTTGTTGCGATATTTTATTTTTAAATGCAACTTTAGCAAAATAATTTCTTGAATCTTCTCATTATTGTAACCATTTTAAGCTCACCTGAACCATAGACTCATGGTGTCGGGTGGTTACATTTTGATTCCGTGTTTGACCTGCATGGTTACGACCTATTAAGTGGTTTTGACCTGCTCACAGGTAAGTACATGGGTAGCTGTATATTGATAACATAATAGCTTTTAAATTATTAATTAAAATATGCATTGTCGATAAAAAAATCCTATGTAGACAAAAACAAAATGTGAAACAGTTGCAAGTGTTAATTAATTGCTTCAGAACAAAACCACTTGTGTCGAACATGGATTTATGTCGAAACCACGCGGGTCGAACAAGTAATAGGAAGGTAACCATCCCCATTCTAGACTCTCATGAGTTTTTGTGATTGAAATTTGTCCATTGTCTGTGTTGTTGGTGTTTTGGGTGTTGTAAACATTTTAAAAACTTTTCAACTTATTCTCCAGAAAATTGAGAAGTTGAACTTAGAAACTTTTTTATGTATTTGTTCAAAGTAACACCCCCCCCCCCCCCCCCCTTTATCAGATTCACATTTGTTAATACCAATTTACACTGAAAATTCTTTTGCAATTACTGTAGATGTAGGAGAGATTGATAAATCCCATATCAGATTTGTGGACACACAGGAAAATGCTGAACCCCATATAGAATATGATGCTATCCCTTTCATTATTATGGGCAAAAAAATCTTGGAATGTCACCAGGGATATGACAGAGACAAATGAAACAAACAAAAGAAACAAAGCAAGAGAAGATGTAAGCATGCATTATTTATTCTACTTCTAATAAACTAATAATGAGGCAAAGATGAGGACTGAGAAGGATAACCCACTGTCCAGGGTTTCACATTACATTTTATGAGAACTAGACCAGTTGGGCTACGGTATATCCATTCTCTGGGGGAAAACATAACCCAGTCACTGTTTAACATAACCCAGTCACTGAGGAACATAACCCAGTCACTGTTTAACATAACCCAGTCACTGTCCAACATAACCCAGTCACTGTTTAACATAACCCAATCACTGAGGAGCATAACCCAGTCACTGTTTAACATAACCCAGTCACTGTACAACATAACCCAGTCACTGAACAACATAACCAAGTCACTGTTAACATAACCCAGTCACTGAGGAACATAACCCAGTCACTGTTTAACATAACCCAGTCACTGTTCAACATAACCCAGTCACTGAACAACATAACCCAGTCACTGTTTAACATAACCCAGTCACTGAGGATCATAACACAGTCACTGAACAACATAACCCAGTCACTGAACATCATAACCATGTCACTGAGGAACATACCCAGTCACAGAGAAACATAACTAAGTCACTGAACAACATAACCCAGTCACTATACAACATAACTCAGTCACTGTTTAACATAACCCAGTCACTGTTCAACATAACCCAGTTACTGAACAACATAACCCAGTCACTGAACATCATAACCAATTCACTGAGAAACATATCAAGTCACAGAGAAACATAACTAAGTCACTGAACAAGATAACCAAGTCACTGTTCAACATAACCCAGTCACTGAGGAACATAACCCAGTCACTGTTCAACATAACCCAGTCACTGTTTAACATAACCCAGTCACTGTTCAACATAACCCAGTCACTGAACAACATAACCCAGTCACTGAGGATCATAACCCAGTCACTGTTCAACATAACCCAGTCACTGTTTAACATAACCCAGTCACTGTTCAACATAACCCAGTCACTGAACAACATAACCCAGTCACTGTTTAACATAACCCAGTCACTGAGGATCATAACCCAGTCACTGAACAACATAACCCAGTCACTGAACAACATAACCCAGTCACTGAACAACATAACACAGTCACTGTTTAACATAAGCCAGTCACTGTTTAACATAACCCAGTCAATGAGAATCATAACCCAGTCACTGTTTAACATAACCCAGTCACTGAACCTTTATCTCAGCTTAGCTCTTTTTTTTGTAGTCTTACCACACATATAGAAGAAAGCGTAGATCGGGGCAGAACAGCAATGTGTTGATGTACGTTTTGCTGTATAATATTTTAAATGAATACAAGACACAATTTACTTTTATATAATTTAAAGCTTTCAAGTAAAGAAAACACACCTCATCATCAAAGGAAACTGGTGAAGAATCTTAAAGAAGACCTGAAAAATTCACAAGTAGAGAAAATTGAACATCGTTTTTATGCACAGTTTCCTGATGTAAAAGATCATAGAAACCATCTGAAAGGAGAGGTAAATAAAGAAAATTATTAATGGTATTACTATCATTTATACTACACTGTCTTATGTCAAGACCTTAACTGATGCATTACAATTAAACTACTTTTTATGGAATTAAAGATTATGGGGCAAATTTTTAGCTCTACTGGTCAGGGACCAGAAGAGCTTATGCGATAGTAAGGTGTCCGTCGTCTGTCCGTCTGTCTGTCTGTAACAATTTTTCAAAATGATACTCCTCCTACAGTTTTGGTCTGATTTCAATATAACTTGGCACACAAGTAGACTACACTAAGATACATAATTTGGTGCATGGGTTTTTGATTTCGATGAACGATGTTGCCATGGTTACTAAAAATAGAAATTTCTGTGACATTCATTCAAAACGCTACTCCTCCTACAGTTTTGGTCTGATTACAATATAACTTGGCACACAAGTAGACTACACTAAGATACATAATTTAGTGCATCGGGTTTTGATTTCAATGAACGGTGTTGCCAAGGTTACTAAAAATAGAAATTTCTGTGAAATTCCTTTAAAACGCTACTCCTCCTACAGTTTTGGTCTGATTTTAATATAACGTGGCACACAAGTAGACTTCACTTTGATAAATAATTTAGTACATCGTTTTTTGATTTCGATGAACAGTGTTGCCATGGTTACTAAAAATAGAAATTTCTGTGAAATTCCTTAAAAACACTTCTCCTCCTACAGTTTTCGTTTGATTTCAATATAACTTGGCAGAGAAGTAGACTACATTAAGATACATAATTCTATTTATTAATGCATGTTGCAAATCCAAGTGCTACTTTGTTATACGTACAGACCAGTAGAGCTACAGTCTCATCAGAGACTTCTGGTTATTTTAAATTTTATCCTTGCAAATAACTTTTCAACAATAATTGATAAGGCTTTCATATTTCACATGTGTATTTCTTGGAACAAGTCCTTTCTTGGGGTTCAAACAAATTAGACATCTTGGGATTTGACATGCTTTCTGAAAAATATTTACCCATCTTTAATCATGTTCATAACTTTCGCACAGTTGATCCGGTCCTAGGACTTTCATATTTTACATATGTATTCCATGTGACCAGACCTTTCTTTTGGTACCAAATTATTTTACATTCTCACCTTGACCATGGAATTTTAGTCTACTTGTGAAAAACTTTAACCTTGACCATAACATATGAATTATTGGTGCTAGATCTTTCATATAGCATTTATCTTTTCCTTGCAGCAAAACATTTTTTTCTGATACCAATATTTTTTATCTGATGATCTTTACCTTGGAATTTTGACCTACTTTTGAAAAACTTTAACCTTGGCCAAAATTTTTGAATGGTTGCTGTTAAGACTTTCTTATTTCACATGTGCATTCCTTGTGACAAGACCTTTCTTTGCATACAAACATTTTTGACCTTTCAACCTTCATCATTGTTTCACAATGCAAATCTTGTTTGGTTTTATGTTCTACTGGTCAGAGACCAGAAGAGCTTATGCGTTAGTAAGGTGCCTGTCATCCATCCATCTGTCTTTCTAGTTGTCTGTCTGTCCCTCTGTCTGTAAACAATTTTCAAAAAGCTACTCCTCCTACAGGTTTGGTCTGATTTCAACATAACCTGGCACACAACTAGGACTACATGAAGATAATTAACTCAATGCATTAGACTCAGTTTTGATGAATGTTTTTGCTATAGTTACTAAAAATAGAAATTCCTGTGAAATTCCTTTAAAATGCAACTCTGGGGATAGTTTGGATCTGATATCAATATTACTTGGCACACAAGTAGAATTCACTAGGATACATAATTCTGTTTGTCGTTTTTTTTGTTTTATTTTGGTGAAGTGTAGCCATGGTTACTAAAAATAAAATTTCTGTGAAATACATTCAAAATGCTACTCCTCCTATATTTTTGCTATAATTTAAATGTAACTTAGCATGCAAATAGACTACTTTGAGATACATAATTGTCTTTATCAGTTTTTTTTTTTGCTTTTGATGATTGATGTTGCCATGGTTACTGACATCAAAATTTTGTAGAAATCTTTTAAAAGGTCACTCCTCCTACAGTTTTAGTCTGATTGCAATAAATCTTGCCACAAAAATAGGCTAAATCAAGGACCATTACTCTATTGCTGTTGCAAAGTTTCAAGTCCAAGTGCTACTTTTATCTTTCTTTAAAAAAATTGTTATAAGTACAAACCAGTAGAGCTACAGTATCATCAGAAACTTATGGGTTTTTTTTAAATTTGTGAATATTTTAAGAATAGCCTTTATACTTTTTTTTTATAATTATACATTTGTTAACCAGGCATCCAGTATCCTCCAACCAATGGACAAACGACTGTCGGATTACATCAAGAAAGTTGTCACTGAACATGGGGTGACTAGTACTCTAAAAATGAAATTGCTTTTAGAGGTTTTTCTAAGACAGTCAATTTTTGTCAATACTTCTCTTCCACCGAAACATAACAAAAGATTCTGGCCATCACTGAAAGACATCTATAATCACGTGGCAGCACAGTTTTTGAAACTGAGAGATAGCTGTGTTGACCAGGTATATATATACCAAATTGCAGAGTACCTCCGATTTAATTATATTAATTTTTTTTAATTGAGAGCAATATACATTTTTGTTGAATATTTTATATTTTTTCCTTTCTGCCTCCAATATTAATATATGGCATTGAATAATGAGGTGGCAGGTAATCTGTGAATGAATTAGCAAAAACTTAATGAGCAAATTCATTTTTATTTAAAGATTTTACTTCTGATTTTTTTGAGTAAATTAAAGAAACTTTATGTATTGCATTAATACAGATTTTCCATTTATTCAATTCTATCAGAAATTGGTAGTTGAAATGGTGGAAGAGCAACGATCATTGCATAAAGGTGAAAGGTTCTACATCAGAATAAAAAAGGACCAGGAACCAGGTAAATTTACCGATGAAAATTTTGGAATGACAAAGGTATTAGACAAATTCTTGAAGGAAATGCAATGGAAATAATTATTTATAATTTGAAATGATGATCTATAAGCAGAACTTTGGACTTATAGTCATAGACCAAAACATATACGAGTAAACAGTTGTAGTAACTCAGGCAGTAATGAAAGATGCTGTCAACACATACTATCAGAAAACGGCCGGTTTTTCAGATTGCTTCTTTAGTTAAATTTTGCAAGTACCTCGATAACAGGCTAATGCAAAACTTCAAGAGAGATTAATCCCTTGCATATCTAATGAATGAAAATCCAGTGTATCGATGCAAGCAGATCCATTTTTTTTTTAGCAGATTATCAAAATTAATGGAACTTGAGATTGTTAAGACATTTTGACGATATGATCCAATTGTTCTGTAAGGAGATACCATATATATGACATATAATACCATATAATACCATATTTACATATATATATATATATATATATATATATATATATATATATATATATATATATATATATATATATATATATATATATAAATTGCTACAGCTGTATATGTACATTTAGGAAATTATTGTGTTAATGAGTGTAGTGTAAATTTAAGAGTGCAGCGCTGTTTGTTTTTTTTTTTTTTGTTTGTTTTTTTTTGTTGTTTTTTTTTTTACGTCTAGTCATTTTATAATTTTACTGGACAACCCTTGTATTTTGGTCATAGCGATATAGATGATACAAATGAAAATTCTTATTAAATGTACTAGTCATTAATTCATCATATTTTTTCCACTAAACAGAAAGCTTCGGAACAGATATCAGAATGCAATGCCTGGTTGCACAAGAGTGTAAAAGCTGAAGTGAGTATAATAATAATAATTAATATACATGCAATTCCCACCTTTAGTATATAAATGCATTCCAATGTCTTTCTGGTTACTTTCCATGTCACCTGACCCATTAAATATTCCAATGAGCATTTCTGATGAAACAAACTCTTCTGGTGTCCATCATACTATCTTTAAACTATTTACATTATAAAAATAAAACATGTTATGATGTTTTAGGGTAACACATTAAATTGATATCCTGTGAAAACCATTGCTGACTGATGCAAAGCTGAGGTCATCAATGGTTTTCAAGGGATAACAATTTCACATGTTACCCTAAAAATGTATTATTAGCTCACCTGAGCTCAAGTGAGCTCTTCTGATCACCCATTGTCCATCTGTTAATTTTTCACATTTTCATCTTTTTCTCAAGAACCACTGGGCCAATTTTAACCAAAGTTGGTACAAAGCATCCTTTGGTGAAGGGGAAGTTAAATTGTTAAAATAAGGGGCAAACCCCCTTACAAGGGGAGATAATGAAGAAAAGGCAAAAATAGGGTGGGGTCATTAAAAAATCTTCTTCTTAAGAACCACTGTGCCAGAAAAGCTTAAACTCATGTGGAATCATGCTGGAGTAGTGTAGATTCTAAATTGTTAAAATCATGATCCCCGGGGATAGAGTGGGGCCACAATAGGAATCCAACTTTTACATTGAAATGTATATGAAAAAATCCTTGGAGATCTCCTTTTCAAGAACCACTGGGCCAGATATGCTGAAATTGATGTGGAAGCATCCTGGAGTAGTGAAGATTACAAATTGTTAAAATCATACTCCTGGGGGTAGGGTGAGCCACAATAGGTATAACATTGGGGAAAGTCTGGTGAAGAACAGCAGGGCCAAAGTTACTCAGGTGAGTGTTGTGGCCCATGGGCCTCTAGTTTTTTATAATGTAAATAGTTTAAAGATAGCATGATGGACACCAGACAGTAATGGTTTTCAAGGGATAACCTTAAAAATGTAAATATTTTCCTTTGTTATACCAAATCTATTTAGAATAAAGCATTTTAAAAAAAGAACCCACAGTAAACCGTATGGGCATACAATCTGCCCAATTTTGCACTGTTACCCGTCGTCATGCAATGTCATTGTTGCCATGTAATGTTACATGGAGGGCATACTTTACACATGCGGTAGGGTAGCAGTACTTTTTAACAAATGTTTTTAAAACAATCAAATTTGACTTAACATAAAAGTATAACAATAAGGTTTGTCTATATTGTTCATGAAAAATTAACATTTTTTGTTTATAGACTGAACAGTCCATGAAACTGGTTAACATTTTGTGGGAATGGCCAAGGATGGATCTTCCAATAAACAAGGGAACAGGAAACATACAAGGCTACAATATAGCAACTCTGGTAATTTTTAGTATCTGTTGCATGCATGGTTATCTAACAGCCCTGGGTTCAGAATTTAATTCTGTCTTATTTATCAATCAATTTTACTGTTTATTTCACACAATCATATGGTGTGATCTGACTTTCTGATCAGTTTTCTGAATCCATATCAACACTTTCTGAAACTGACTCAATCTTCAGGTCAAGTTAGAGAAATTTATTAAGAATTGATGTTTAGATATATAAACAGCATGATATATATATAAAAGCTCAACAATGAAGGTTATAGTTAAAAAGGGGATAGTATAGCCTGCTCTAAGTGATTAGTAATAGTTCTATAACACTACCTGTTTATGGCAGAGAGATTTTCAGGAGAAAAATTTCCTATAATTATTTAAAAATTTTTACAATTTGCAAAAGACATCAAAACAAAGCTGAAGGAAATATTGGAATTAGAAGAGGGTGATAAGAGGTAAATAATAAACATTGAAAGCAGCCTATTTACTTTTAAATTGTCTTCATTAAATTTATGGGCAATAAAATGAGATTCCATTCATTGGAAATTAAAGAGATTTTATGGTATGTCTTTCATAGTTTAACACTGTTTCATGCACTTTGGTTTACAAGATGTACTGTAACAAGTGGTTAAAATTAAATTAACTTGATCGAGTGTTATAATATTCCTTTTACAGGTGTTATGAACCACACTGGAGACATCTGCAATGGATTGACAGGAATGACTTGACTGACCATAATGTGATGAATAACTCTGTGAAAGGAATGGAAGAAAGAAATAAACTTTTTCATGAAGAGGTAACATCCATATGTACTCTCTGTAGATTTTAATGTATAAGCATACAATGTATTTTACAAGGCTAGTCCTGCATATTCTTGCTCATGCGCAAGTGCTGTTATGGATACTGATTAATAACATGATTGTTTTCTTTTTTTATTGAACAGAGTCTTTCTCTACTCATGATATATATATATATATATATATATGTACAGTTGAACTTCGGTATCTCGAACACGGATATCTCGAATCTTATGGATATGTCGAAGTGATTTGGAAGTCCCAAGCACTTAATATTTTAAGTATTTTACCCCCAATATCTCGAACCCTCAGATATCTTGAAGTTTATTCTCGGTCCCATTGAGTTGGAGATAATGAGGTTTGACTGTATATATATATGCGTGTGGGTGTGTATGTGTGTGTGTGTGTTAGAGAAGGAAACAAGTTTATTTGCCTATTTTTTCCCTTCCAATAGAGATGGGCTGAAATGAGTGCTCTTGTTTTAGAAGAATTTGGCTTGTTTAAACCAAAAACAATCATGTAAGTTTATACCTCAATTTAATTTGCTATTCTATATTATATAGCTATATAAACTTACCACGGAAGATGAATCTTAACCTGTCACCTTTAGAGCTTTGTGAGTATTTAACTCTTGGAGTGATTAAATTGTCATCAAGACTTCATATAAGTCCGACTAAGATTTATAAATGAATTTCTAGACATACATCATCAGTACATCTGCTTACTAATGATTGATTTCAAGAGGTAGACATAATGTACCCATTAAAGAATATTGTATGTACTGTAAATAATTTTTTTTTTGGTGATAACTTTATTTTTGCATACTAGTGAGACTGTTTGTAGGGGAAAATTTCATTCACACATAATATTCCTCTTATAAAGATTATATAGGGCAGATACCAAAAGTTGTGAAAATTTTGTTTTGCTTGTAAATATCAAATAAAAGAAGGACACATTTTGCACCAAGTTAATTCCACTCCCCCTTTTCAACAAATTAAAGACAACTAAGTCATGTTCAGCATTCTTCATTGTACTTTTTTAATAAAAAAAAATTGTTGATTTTAGTGGTCTCTTTAGTCCTCCAGGATATTACCTTAGTTTGAAAAACTGCAATAATGGAAAGCTTATGGCAACACTGGAAGATGAGTAGGATATTTTTTTATTCATCCTTGTTGAAGAAAATGGAGAGGAATATTGTGCAATGTCAGTCAGGAGTTATTTTTGTAACTAAATTGTTAACTTTTAAAGTAAACCATATGTCTCTTCATATCCATAATTTAATCATAATTCACATCTGATTTTTTCTTGATTTGATTGATCTCCATAGACAACTTTATTCTTAATTATTTTCATTCTCTTTTAGGACAGGACAGAGATTGAATGAAGGAGTTAGATACTTTAAGGATGTATTGCTTGTAGAAGCAAGAATCATCATCGCTTCTGTTGTCAAGAACATAACATATAGGGAAGCTGAAGAACTTCTCTATCCATTGAAATAACAAATTTATGTTCCGGTTGATTGAGTTTGCAAATTTGTTATATTGGAATATTTCGATTGTGATAGCATTGCAAAAGATGTTCTACATCAATTGCTATATGACATGTTGAACAATATTTGTTTGCAGATTCTTTACAGTTATTATATATCACCATCTGATGAAATATTGTTATAATGTAAAATGGACTCTGTCAGGGCTGATCAATTGTACTTGGTTACTCTAGATGAACTCATTAACTCTAATAATTGTGATTTCATTCAAATCAAATCCACACCAGACCCAGACTGTATTATCATTAATTCCTACTAGAAACATTAGTTTAAATGTAGGAAGAATTTGATAAAATTTGATGTAATTTGACTTTGAAAATATCTATTAAAGTTTTGTTTTTCTGACAAGTGAAATGAATTTCACATGCAGAATTCATACCATTGGATTTGGGTGTAATTTAAAAGGGATACTTGTGCAGCTATGCATTATTTCTTAAATAGTACCTGTAATACATTTGTATGGTCTTAATATTGTGTGGCCATTTTTCCCCTAGGATTAATTGATCTACGTTATTTTTATCTTTAAGTTCCTCAGTGAATAAACCCAATTTGTATAAAAATTGGGAGCAGAGCTCTAGAAAAAGGCTTAACATTAGTTTATGTTCCAAATAATGATTGTGTGAAATAAATTATTTTCCTTACCACTTTTGTATATATGCCTTATATATGGAGACCAAATTATGCACATTAACTCATATTGAATGCTTGGGTTATGTTTCTCAGTGACTGGGTTATGTTGTTCAGTGACTGGGTTATGTTCCTCAGTGACTGGGTTATGTTGTTCAGTGACTGGGTTATGTTGTTCAGTGACTGGGTTATGCTGTTGAGAGACTGGGTTATGTTGTTCTGTGACTGGGTTATGTTGTTCAGTGACTGGGTTATGTTGTTCTGTGACTGGGTTATGTTGAACAGTGACTGGGTTATGTTAAACAGTGACTGGGTAATGTTCAGTGACTGGGTTATGTTGAACAGTGACTGGGTTATGTTGTTCAGTGACTGGGTTTTGTTATTCAGTGAGTGGGTTATGATGTACAGTGACTGGGTATGTTAAATAGTGAATGGGTTATGTTAAACAGTGACTGGGTTATGTTCCTCAGTGACTGGGTTATGTTCCTCAGTGACTGGGTTTTGTTGTTCAGTGACTGGGTTATGTTAAACAGTGGCTGGGTTATGTGGAACAGTGACTGGGTTATGTTGTATGTGACTGGATATGTGGAACAGTGACTGGGTTATGTTAAACAGTGACTGGGTTATGTTGAACAGTGACTGGGTTATATTAAACAGTGACTGGGTTATGTTGTATAGTGACTGGGTTATGTTAAACAGTGACTGGGTTATGTTGTTCAGTGACTGGGTTATGTTCCTCAGTGACTGGTTTATGTTTAACAGTGACATGGTTATGTTGTTCAGTGACTGGGTTATGTGGAACAGTGACTGGGTTATGTTAAACAGTGACTGGGATATGTTATACAGTGAGTGAGTTATGTGGAACAGTGACTGGGTTATGTTAAACAGTGACTGGCTTATGTTAAACAGTGACTGGGTTATGTTGTTCAGTGACTGGGTTATATTAAACAGTGACTGGGTTATGTTAAACAGTGACTGGCTTATGTTAAACGGTGACTGGGTTATGTTAAACGGTGACTGGGTTATGTTGTTCAGTGACTGGGTTATGTTGAACAGTGACTGGGTTATGTTGTTCAGTGACTGGGTTATGTTGAACAGTGACTGGGTTATGTTCCTCAGTGACTGGGTTATGTTGATCAGTGACTGGGTTATGTTCCTCAGTGACTGGGTTATGTTGAAGAGTGACTGGGTTATGTTAAACAGTGACATGGTTATGTTGTTCAGTGACTGGGTTATGTTCCTCAGTGACTGGGTTATGTTGTTCAGTGACTGGGTTATGTTGTTGAGTGACTGGGTTATGTTAAACAGTGACTGGGTTATGTTGTTCAGTGACTGGGTTATGTTAAACAGTGACTGTGTTATGTTGTTCAGTGGCTGGGTTGTGTTATTCAGTGAGTGGGTTATGATGTACAGTGACTGGGTATGTTAAATAGTGAATGGGTTATGTTGTACAGTGACTGGGTTATGTTCCTTAGTGACTGGGTTATGTTAAACAGTGACTGGGTTTTGTTGTTCAGTGACTGGGTTATGTTAAACAGTGGCTGGGTTATGTGGAACAGTGACTGGGTTATGTTGAACAGTGACTGGGTTATGTGGAACAGTGACTGGGTTATGTGGAAAAGTGACTGGGTTATGTTAAACAGTGACTGGCTTATGTGGAACAGTGACTGGGTTATGTTAAACAGTGACTGGGTTATGTGGAACAGTGAGTGGGTTATGTGGAAAAGTGACTGGGTTATGTTAAACAGTGACTGGCTTATGTGGAACAGTGACTGGGTTATGTTAAACAGTGACTGGGTTATGTGGAACAGTGAGTGGGTTATGTGGAAAAGTGACTGGGTTATGTTAAACAGTGACTGGCTTATGTGGAACAGTGACTGGGTTATGTTAAACAGTGACTGGGTTATGTTAAACAGTGACTGGGTTATGTTGTTCAGTGACTGGGTTATGTTCCTCAGTGACTGGCTTATGTTTAACAGTGACATGGTTATGTTGTTCAGTGACTGGGTTATGTGGAACAGTGACTGGGTTATGTTAAACAGTGACTGGGATATGTTATACAGTGAGTGAGTTATGTGGAACAGTGACTGGGTTATGTTAAACAGTGACTGGCTTATGTTAAACAGTGACTGGGTTATGTTGTTCAGTGACTGGGTTATATTAAACAGTGACTGGGTTATGTTAAACAGTGACTGGCTTATGTTAAACGGTGACTGGGTTATGTTAAACGGTGACTGGGTTATGTTGTTCAGTGACTGGGTTATGTTGAACAGTGACTGGGTTATGTTGTTCAGTGACTGGGTTATGTTGAACAGTGACTGGGTTATGTTCCTCAGTGACTGGGTTATGTTGATCAGTGACTGGGTTATGTTCCTCAGTGACTGGGTTATGTTGAAGAGTGACTGGGTTATGTTAAACAGTGACATGGTTATGTTGTTCAGTGACTGGGTTATGTTCCTCAGTGACTGGGTTATGTTGTTCAGTGACTGGGTTATGTTGTTGAGTGACTGGGTTATGTTAAACAGTGACTGGGTTATGTTGTTCAGTGACTGGGTTATGTTAAACAGTGACTGGGTTATGTTGTTCAGTGGCTGGGTTGTGTTATTCAGTGAGTGGGTTATGATGTACAGTGACTGGGTATGTTAAATAGTGAATGGGTTATGTTGTACAGTGACTGGGTTATGTTCCTTAGTGACTGGGTTATGTTAAACAGTGACTGGGTTTTGTTGTTCAGTGACTGGGTTATGTTAAACAGTGGCTGGGTTATGTGGAACAGTGACTGGGTTATGTTGAACAGTGACTGGGTTATGTGGAACAGTGAGTGGGTTATGTGGAAAAGTGACTGGGTTATGTTAAACAGTGACTGGCTTATGTGGAACAGTGACTGGGTTATGTTAAACAGTGACTGGGTTACGTGGAACAGTGAGTGGGTTATGTGGAAAAGTGACTGGGTTATGTTAAACAGTGACTGGCTTATGTGGAACAGTGACTGGGTTATGTTAAACAGTGACTGGGTTATGTGGAACAGTGAGTGGGTTATGTGGAAAAGTGACTGGGTTATGTTAAACAGTGACTGGCTTATGTGGAACAGTGACTGGGTTATGTTAAACAGTGACTGGGTTATGTTAAACAGTGACTGGGTTATGTGGAACAGTGGCTGGGTTATGTTAAACAGTGACTGGGTTATGTTATACAGTGAGTGGGTTATGTGGAACAGTGACTGGCTTATGTTTAACAGTGACATGGTTATGTTGTTCAGTGACTGGGTTATGTGGAACAGTGACATGGTTATGTTAAACAGTGGCTCGGTTATGTGGAACAGTGACTGGGTTGTGTTAAACAATGACTTGGTTATGTTATACAGTGAGTGGGTTATGTTAAACAGTGACTGAGTTATGTTAAACAGTGACTGGGTTATGTTGTTCAGTGACTGGGTTATGTTGAACAGTGACTGGGTTATGTTCCTCAGTGACTGGGTTATGTTGAACAGTGACTGGGTTATGTTCCTTAGTGACTGGTTTATGTTCATCAGTGACTGGGTTATGTTGAACAGTGACTGTGTTATGTTAAACAGTGACTGGATTATGTTAAACAGTGACTGGGTTCTGTTGTTCAGTGACTGGGTTATGTTAAACAGTGACTGGGTTATGTTGTTCAGTGACTGGGTTATGTTGAACAGTGACTGGGTTATGTTCCTTAGTGACTGGGTTATGTTCCTCAGTGACTGGGTTATGTTGAACAGTGACTGGGTTATGTTCCTTAGTGACTGGGTTATGTTCCTCAGTGACTGGGTTATGTTGAACAGTGACTGTGTTATGTTAAACTGACTGGGTTATGTTGTTCAGTGACTGGGTTATGTTGAACAGTGACTGGGTTATGTTCCTTAGTGACTGGGTTATGTTCCTCAGTGACTGGGTTATGTTGAACAGTGACTGGGTTATGTTCCTTAGTGACTGGGTTATGTTCCTCAGTGACTGGGTTATGTTGAACAGTGACTGTGTTATGTTAAACAGTGACTGGATTATGTTAAACAGTGACTGGGTTCTGTTGTTCAGTGACTGGGTTATGTTAAACAGTGACATGGTTATGTTGTTCAGTGACTGGGTTATATTATTCAGTGAGTAGGTTATGATGTACAGTGACTGGGTATGTTAAATAGTGAATGGGTTATGTTAAACAGTGACTGGGTTATGATCCTTAGTGACTTGGTTATGTTAAACAGTGACTGGGATATGTTATACAGTGAGTGAGTTATGTGGAACAGTGACTGGGTTATGTTCCTCAGTGACTGGGTTATGTTCCTCAGTGACTGGGTTATGTTCCTCAGTGACTGGGTTATATTAAACAGTGACTGGGTTATGTTAAACAGTGACTGGGTTATGTTCCTCAGTGACTGGGTTATGTTAAACAGTGACTGGGTTATGTTGTTCAGTGACTGGGTTATGTTAAACAGTGACTGGGTTATGTTAAACAGTGACTGGGTTATGTTCCTCAGTGACTGGGTTATGTTCCTCAGTGACTGGGTTATGTTAAACAGTGACTGGGTTATGTTCCTCAGTGACTGGGTTATGTTGTATAGTGACTGGGTTATGTTAAACAGTGATTGTGTTATGTTGCTCAGTGACTGGGTAATGTTCTTCAAAAACTAAGTTATGTTTCTCAGTGACAGGGTTATGTTGTACAGTGACTGGGTTATGTTTCTCTCTGGGTTATGTTGTTGAGAGACTGGGTTATGTTGCTCGGTGACTGGGTAATGATTTTCAGTGGCTGGGTTATGTTATTCAGGGACTGGGATTTGGTTCTCAGTAACTGGGTTATATTTTTCTGTGACTGGGTTATGCTGTTGAGAGACTTGGTTATTTTGAACTGTGACTGGGTTAGGTTTCCCAGTGACTGGGTTATGTTGAACAGTGACTGGGTTATGTTCCTTAGTGACTGGGTTATGTTCCTTAGTGACTGGGTTATGTTGAACAGTGAATGTGTTATGTTAAACAGTGACTGGATTATGTTAAACAGTGACTGGGTTCTGTTGTTCAGTGACTGGGTTATGTTAAACAGTGACTGGGTTATGTTGTTCAGTGACTGGATTATGTTGAACAGTGACTGGGTTATGTTCCTTAGTGACTGGGTTATGTTCCTCAGTGACTGGGTTATGTTGAACAGTGACTGGGTTATGTTCCTTAGTGACTGGGTTATGTTCCTCAGTGACTGGGTTATGTTGAACAGTGACTGTGTTATGTTAAACAGTGACTGGATTATGTTAAACAGTGACTGGGTTATGTTGTTCAGTGACTGGGTTATGTTAAACAGTGACATGGTTATGTTGTTCAGTGACTGGGTTATATTATTCAGTGAGTGGGTTATGATGTACAGTGACTGGGTATGTTAAATAGTGAATGGGTTATGTTAAACAGTGACTGGGTTATGATCCTTAGTGACTTGGTTATGTTAAACAGTGACTGGGTTATGTTACACAGTGACTTGGTTATGTTGTTTAGTGACTGGGTTATGTTCCTCAGTGACTGGGTTATGTTCCTCAGTGACTGGGTTATATTAAACAGTGACTGGGTTATGTTTCTCAGTGACTGGGTTATGTTAAACAGTGACTGGGTTATGTTCCTCAGTGACTGGGTTATGTTAAACAGTGACTGGGTTATGTTGTTCAGTGACTGGGTTATGTTAAACAGTGACTGGGTTATGTTAAACAGTGACTGGGTTATGTTCCTCAGTGACTGGGTTATGTTAAACAGTGACTGGGTTATGTTCCTCAGTGACTGGGTTATGTTGTATAGTGACTGGGTTATGTTAAACAGTGATTGTGTTATGTTGCTCAGTGACTGGGTAATGTTCTTCAAAAACTAAGTTATGTTTCTCAGTGACAGGGTTATGTTGTACAGTGACTGGGTTATGTTTCTCTCTGGGTTATGTTGTTGAGAGACTGGGTTATGTTGCTCGGTGACTGGGTAATGATTTTCAGTGGCTGGGTTATGTTATTCAGGGACTGGGATTTGGTTCTCAGTAACTGGGTTATATTTTTCTGTGACTGGGTTATGCTGTTGAGAGACTTGGTTATTTTGAACTGTGACTGGGTTAGGTTTCCCAGTGACTGGGTTTTGTTGTACAGTGACTGGGTTATGTTGTTCAGTGACTGGGTTTTGTTAAACAGTGACTGGGTTTTGTTAAACAGTAACTGGGTTATGTTGTTTCATTTATTAATAAGCTCGCAATTGAGAAAGAAAAAGAAAAAAAGAGAAAGAAAAGCTAGAACAGTGCAGTTTTGAGGGATTCACTTGTAACATATTGAAGTGATTGCCAAAAAAAAATTAAAATATAACAACCAATTTTTGCCAGAAAGTTTTATAGTCAGTAAGTTTTTTATCATCTTTTACAGTGTATTTCAAAGCTGTAAAATAGGATTTAAATAAATTTAGAAAACCATGAATATCTACTAAATTATGTGTGTTCATTATCTCACAGTTGAACAGTGAATTGGTTATGATTGATTGGGTATAATATGTTGAACAGTGACTAGGTTAGGTTTTCCAGTGACTGAGTAAAGTTTCACAGTGACTAGGTTATGCTGTTCAAAGACTAGATTATATTGGTTTGTAACTGGGTAATTTTTTTTCTGTGACCTAATGGCTATAAACCAGGGTCATATTAAAGAATCATCACTTCTTGTAAAACTGCAAGTCAACAAGTTAGGGATTTTTGTTTTTTCACTGTACGTGATTGTCTTTATGGGCGGGATTCCTTTTACCCTCGGAAGATTAGCGTAAGAAGTAATTATTGAAAAATTCAAGTCTTTTCTGCTGTGCATACACACATGCTAACTAGGTCACTAGTTCTACCTGTGGCTAACAGGCCATGAAAACGCAATCTACTAATTTATCATGTTATAACTATTAAATACCCTAACCTTCGTGAAAGTCGTTCATTCGCCTGAATGTACTAATATTAAGACTCCGATTATGGCTATTGATCGTATTATTTGCCACACACCATAGGCCTAGTGTTTACAAAACTATATTGCATCGGGATCGAATATGCGTTATATTACAAAAAACCATACCGGAAATAATTTTCCCGAAAACCGTGACTGGGTTATGTTATAGACTCTACCTTGACGTTGTGGGGATGCGACACAGCATCAAATTCCCGTAAACAAAATTGAACAGTTATTAATCATTTACTTTACAAATGCGAACTATAGGTTGTGAGCACATAATGTTTTTCTACGTTTGTCAATTTGACATTTATCTAAGTTTTTTTTTTTCATTTCCCCCACACTTGTTTCAATGTCGAAACAAAATCAGGTCTATAGAATTACTAAGTGATGCTTTATAACATGTGCGCTTTATGGAATGATTCATGGGTTCAGGCCCTTACCATGCACATCTATAAATTCCGTATTTCAGTTTCAGTTTTTTATTTAGTAATTTCGTTTTCTTTATTTAATAATTTCGTTTTCTTTATTTAATAAGTTCGTTTGTCTTTTATTTAATAATTTCGTTTTCTTTATTTAATAATTTCGTTTTCTTTATGTAATAATTTCGTTTTCTTTACTTAATAATTTCGTTTTCTTTATTTAATAAATTCGTTTGTCTTTTATTTATTAATTTCGTTTTCTTTATTTAATAATTTCGTTTTTCTTTATTTAATAATTTCGTTTGTTTCTTTATTTAGTAATTTCGTTTTCTTTATTTAATAATTCCGTTTTTTATTTAATAATTTCGTTTTTTATTTAATAATTTCGTTTTCTTTATATAATAATTTCGTTTTCTTGTTTCTTATTTTTTTGGTTTGCACTATTGGGCTTCCGTACAGTCCACTTTATACCGTATAAATTGGGTAACTATTAAATTCATTCCTTACAATTTAATTTTCATTCATTTGGTGTAAGAAAAAAAAGATGATTGTCCTTAAAAAAAAGACTTCAATTTGTACAAAATTTGAATGTAACGTCAGGCGGATCGATACGTTTTTGACGCAAGTCATTGTGACGTAGGCAACCCATTTTATACGTTATAAAGTAAAATTTTTTATCCAATCAAATACAGCGTTACAACAAGAATTAAATTATTTTCGAATCAAAAAGCAATAATTTTCTACCGAACAGAGATGCCAATTGAGCCTAACGCATCTAAGTACTTGATTTGTTTATATTAAGCATAAAAACTCCACATTTATGAGAAATCGAACCATTCTGAGATCTCCTACAGTCTGTGCATCTCAATGTACATGTACAATATTAACATGCTTTACTTACATCTGTTAACCATAGGGGAATATAGTCAGTATTCGAATTCTTCATTGCGTGTTTTTTTTTTTTTTTTTTTTTAAAAGGTGAATGAAATTTTATTTTTTCTTGTGATATCCATGATATTACATAAATCTTCCTAACTATCAGGTACCTGGATCACATGCATTCTTTTAAACATAATGCAACGTTTAGATGAGATAAGATTCTGAAATTTATTAACTAGTTCTATGGTATATTTATTTACTTTATCTTTTTATTTGTTTAGTATTTCCTTTCACTTCCTTTTTCTATAATGTCCCTTTCTTAATGTTCCTTGTAATTAGATAAATTTATTTTGCACTGCTTGTTTACTGAAAAAAAGAGGATAAGAAAGAAAAACCTATGCAGTAAGTGGCAAGTATAATAGAATATTTCCCTAAAGCTCAGTTTTATATACTTTAACGAGGAAGAATAGACAATTAATTTGAAAGTTAATGTATATTAATGTTAAATTACACTGAAGTTGCAATCATTTGGCAACTACAGGAAAAAGAAAGAAAAAGCGTATAAAAACTATGGCTCGGATAAAATCTGGTATACTGATGAACAAAAAGAATTTACTGCAAATCATTAATAATGAAAATCATTTCTTTATAACATTTTCTTTGGTTTATAGCCATATGATGTCTTCTCGTGACGCTGTGTCGTAATAGCTGAGGGGTTGTGAGATTTTGAGATTAAAAATTGTAAATATATATTTACCAAAATTTTAGAGAAACTATTGCAGTTTAAGTAAGTGTTAGGATGGTTTATTCAACGTTGCTATCTATAAGAATAATTTTCTTTAACAAACTTTTTTGAAGGTAGAAGTGTTTTGCCGCGAATTTGAGACATTTATTGCAAAAATAACAGTTTTGATGTTTTGACTATGTGTATGCCATGTCAATGACAATATCAATTTTATTAAACAGCTAAAATATAGTATTGTACTGTAAAATATGTAATAGATAGAGAATTCATTCATTCTTAATCCTTATCTTAATGAAGTATATTTTCTTTAAGGATAAAAGTTGGTTGTTTGTTTTGTTTTGTTTTTTCTTTTTTGGTTTCTTGTTTTTTTTTTTTTTTTTTTTTTTTTTTTTTTTTTTTTTTTGGGGGGGGGGGGATTTTTTGTTTGTTTTTTGTTTTTGTTTTTTTTTGTTTTTTGTTTCTTGTTTTCTGTTTGTTTGTTTTTTTCTTTTTTTTCTTTCTTTTTTTTGTTTGTTTTTGTTTTGTTTTGTTTTTTGTTTTAGTTTTTTTGTTTGTTTTTTTATTTTTTTTTGTTTTAGTTTTTTTGTTTGTTTGTTTTGTTTTGTTTGTTTGTTTGTTGTTTTTTTTGTTATTTTCTCTTTAAAAAAAATGGGGGGAAATTTGGCAATTTAATAGCAACACGGAGTTAAAATTATTGGGATTTTGTTTTTTGGCAGGTTTTAATTTTTTAAAATATTTGATTCATTATAATTAACAATCAAGTTATCAAACACATTGAACAGTGTGTACATGTATACAGGGTAAGGTTGTAAAAGGTTCACCCAGTTAAGGGTCTAAATGCTTTTTGTAAGAAAATAATTAAATATTATGACAAACCTCTATTTACATCAAATGATCATAATTATTTTGTGTCTATTTCATAATTAATACCAATAAGAAGATTTATGACAACATCAACATATATAGATGCACAGTATTGCTATACCGATTACACAAAACTTTACCTTCTGGATAGATAACAGTAAAATCAAAATAAACCAGATAACTGTATAAACTTTATGGAAATGTTGGATTTTTTTATCCTCAAAAAATTGAAAGGACGCCAGTATTACACGATATCCAGTAATATTTATCTTAATCTTTTAATTAATTTCGCTTCAGAAGGTGCATAAGGCTTCTAATCTCGACAACACTAACAAATCTCAGTATTATAATACAAATACTTCAGAAACGGCACACCCAAAACCAGAACAAAGAGACCCTCTCTTCTTCTTTCTCTGTTCGTTTTTGCTTTTTTTAAATAATCAGGGATTTCTGGAGGGATTTTTTGAACCAAAAAAATGTGGATCTTTAGTCCAAATCACAACACAAAAAGCAAAAGATATCGATCTGCAAAACAGAAAAAAAAAGAGCGGGGAAAGCAATAAAGAAAGGTAAATCTAGAGAGAGCGAAAAGAAAGAAACCCGTTCGAGCTTGATTCAAAGGATGTTAATCTGACTGAAAAGCAATCTCGGTTTAAAACTGTCAGTTTTCTCGTCTTGTTCGATCGGCATTAAAATACCCATAAGTACTGTTAGCATTGGTTGTACAGAAAACTCATCCCTCCGCCAAGGATATATTGTACTCTAACAAAAGTCAATATTAGTTAAAACTTTTTTCCACACAATTATAAAAATTTTCTGTAGTTCTCGTTTGATGTATCTTCAAAATTACGTTATAATATTTTTGTCAACAAAGACAGAATACATGTATATGTAATTCATAAATCAACTTTGACATCTAGTTAAATTAAATCAAATAGTGAAGCATTTACAACCATATACACACGAATACAATTATTGAAGCACTGGCGTTATTTAGAAAACTATCGAACAAAACATACAAAATAACTGCATACCCATGTTTCGTGTTTCGTCATTAGATTCTGTTTAGAAGTTACAAGTATTTATATGAACTTCGTTTTGTTCAATTGTATTGTAATTAACTTTAATCAATAGAACAATAGTCTAAAGAAATGTACACACGTTAAACAAAAAAAGGAAGACAAACTTTTTTTTTACATTTACATTGTGATTTTTTTAAATCACATTGCAACAGATACATGCTTGTAGTTTTTGACGGGAAGATGATATCATGTGTCTTATGAAACCTTCTCTTCTTAACAAAGGAATGGGTTATTCAATGCCAACTTCCTGGTTCCAAACACAATGAAACATAAAAAAAAAAATTAACACTGATAGTATGCTTTGGACAGAAAGACGAGTGGTCTTGTTTTATTTCAGTATGATATCCTATATAAGAGACTGTAAAACAGGTCACGAAATATCTTCTTTCCATCACAGCGTATCTAATGCACAAACAAAACTAAAATGTTTATTAAAGGTTACATTTTTGGTAATTATCAGAGGCAGCATTACAAACAGGTAAGAAATATATATATATATATATATATATATATATATATATATATATATATATATATATATATATATATATATATATATATATATATATATATATATATATATAGGTTAAGATTCATTATGAAATTATTTTCCTGCGATACCTGATACACAGGCTGAAGAAATTTTATTTTTTCTAACAAAATAAAGAATTTCAAAAAAATACAGTGAAATCGGTCCTATATTTTTTTTTAAAGTTTTATGCGATAGATTTATAAAAAAAACTTAAATAAACCCAATTAAGATACTAATAATCTTCATCAAATCTACATTTCTTTTCCTTCATTTACGATATAAACCAGATGCAAACCAGGGATCTTTTCGAACTCAGGACTAAAAAAAAATTATTGACTGGAATATGTTAAGTTCCTCTTGATTTTCTTTGTAGACAAAGCATCATTGGTTATACTCCAAGAAAATGAGTCTCAATGCAGCTCTGTTGTTCTGTATTCTCTTTGCATTTTTAAGGCAGACACTACAATTCAGCTGCTCTTCGGAGCCAAATTGCAGATGTTATTACGATAGAGAAATGCTGAGTGTGGATTGCAGCTCGCTAAACCTGACTCATTCTCCAAAATTTCGACAAAATGTTAGATGCATCTATCTTAATAACAATGGTCTAATGGAAATACCTACTGACATGCCACGAGAGATCGTGCGGCTAGATATAAGCAATAACAATATTCGAAATCCAAAAAAGGCAATTCTTTCAAGATACAAACATTTGCAATGGTTAAATGTTGAACGTAATTGCTTATGGCAAACATATAAGGAATGGCCATCACGCTTTTTCGAAAATCTGACAAAACTTGATACTCTGCTCATGAAGGATAATTGTTCAGAAATATCTGATAATACGATCAAGGAGATGAAGTACTCCAAAGAATGCTTTTACGGACTTTCGTCATTAAGGCATATCGAACTGAATGGATTAGGTGGCCATAACTTTGAAGACGCATTTGAAGCAAATAATTCTATTCAAATTATAGCATTTACAATTTATGGTGCAAAATGTTCTTTGAATAGCATCGAGAATGACACATTCAATGTTTTCCAACAGTTGAAAACGCTTAAATTATTTCATTGTGATATCAAGTACATAGAGAAAGGAGCATTTGCATACTTGAATGACCTCTTATTACTGGATATTTCAGAAAACCGAGACCTTACGATATCCGTATTGCCCAATATTACTTATGATCTGCAATATACAAAAATCCAAACACTAAGGGCTGATAGTCTTCATTGTACAAATGGACTTTCGCTAATATTAAGAATAAACCATATAGAATATCTCAGAAATACTTCTTTGAGAGAGTTGTCATTGGCAGAAAACAGAATCGGCATTATTGAGCATCGTCTTACTAAGTACCTTCCCAAGTCATTGATATATATAAATATTAATAATAACCCGCTGATGTTCGCGATATATTTATTTGAAGGAGTTTTTCTTTCAAATCTAGAAAGATTAAACATTGACCGTACAGACAGAGGTACTGACCATCAAACAGGCTGTAATTATAATTCTAACAGTTGTGACAAAGTTGAAGAAATTGCTGTGGAGGGAACGGAATATAAAGAATCACCAGCGTTCTCTTCGTATCAATTACCCCCGAAGCTAAAATCTCTTAGCATCGCTAATCAGAAAATGTTTCTTCCTTTAATAGATAATACGTACGGGTTTAGGTCGCAAAATTCATTAACACATCTACATGTTCAGGGAAATCTTATATATGACATTCAACATTTTAGTGGACTTTGGCGTCTAGAATACCTTGATCTCTCGAATAACTTCTGCTTTAACATTACCAAACAGTCATTTCAAAATATGACAAACTTATTATTCCTGAACTTATCCAGAAATCTTTTAGGAAAGGAATTAAAGAGTCAGTCCTCAGAACATGTATTTGATCACCTCCATGGTTTGAAGGTACTGGATCTGTCCTATAACTGGATTACTCTCATACATAAGGATGTGTTTGTTTTCATGTCAAATATTGAGCATCTAATCTTAAGTAATAATGAAATAGAAAGTGTCCCTTTTGATCTGTCAGCTGCCTTAAAATTGCGTAGCATAGATTTGTCTTCCAATAAAATTGTGATGTTGGATTCAAAGTCAATGGACTTTTTAGATTCTTCGAGGGAGAAACAACTCTCTATCCAGATGTCAAACAACCCATTACAGTGTACATGCCAAAGCATGGACTTCCTGAAATGGATGAAAGAATCTTCAAATAAACATTTTGTTGACAGAGAGAATTACACTTGCATATTCACAGATGAGAAAAAGATTGAACTGCGCCATTTAGAGCAGATAATCACTTCTTTAGAGCGTAAATGTACATCATTTACAACAACAATAATCGTAGTTACCATTATTTTACTGGTCACAATCACTCTTGTATCCTTTGCGATAATGTATAGGTATAGATGGAAACTACGCTATTTGTATTACGCTGGTAAGAGAAGTTATAGAGGATATTCAAGGATTTTAGACTCCGGTAGAGAGTATCAATTTGATGCCTTCATTTCCTATGCTGAAAGTGAAAGAACAGGATTTATACCAAACCTTTTGAAGCTTGAAAAAGAAAATGATTTTAAATTTTGCATACACAGTCGTGACTTTATAATTGGTGTTAACGTAGCAGAAAACATTACCAATGCTATTCACAATAGCAAGCGCACAGTCTGTTTTCTGAGTAAAGCTTTCTTAGAATCTGAATTTTGCATATACGAGGCTCAAATGGCTCGAATGGAGAGTATTTATAGAGGAGGGGAAACAACTTTGTTTACTGTACTTGTGGACAAAGATCTTGGAGCTGTCTTGCCACAATTTCTGAAGGACGTAATCAGAGAACAGACATATCTGGAATTTGATAAAGAAATTCCAGAGGAGTTCTGGAATGCTATAACTCAGGCATTAAGAGAAATATAGAGTGAGACATATATCGGAATGATATTTTTTTTGAAAAAAAAATAGTCAAAAAAGGTCATTTAAGACCATGGGTCATCCAAGGAAACAACAGAAAAATATTTGCTAGGGAACTTGCATTGCCAATTATCGGTTATTCTACAATGATTTAATATAATTGTTTATCAAATATACCATTTCCTAATAAAATATCATTGTAAAACTTTGTACGATTGAGTCCTTATTTGTTTTAAAACACCGTTTTCCTAAAAGTACTTCAAAAATAATTTCTGATTTTTTTTTTTTTTTTTAAAAATATTTTTCTATACTTTTGTAACAATCTAATTTGCTTTGAATAAATGTTTGAATTTGTTATCACTTGTTATATTTATATTATAATTAAATAACCATTTATAATTTTACATTTATTATATTAAAACACGTATATGCAGTAAAATTCTCCTCAGCAGATGTTTATCCATGAAAAAAGCATTTTATCATTGAGTGCATAGACAGACTTGCAGATAAACTTCAAACAGACCATTTTGGCGAAATCGAAATTTCAGATCTTCCTTATAGATAAAAATGATGACCAAAAAGCAGTCATCTTAAATTGTCCTAAATACAGGGAGGCCTAAGTATAAACGAGAAGACCTGAACGCTTTGTCAGAATGGAATAAGTATTTTAGAAATATATAAAGGAATCGTATTAGAAAGTTAAAAGCAATATGCTAACCACCTATCCTTCCGTTTTTACTTAATCAGAGGTGATAAAAATTAGAAAGGTTACATGAACAATCTATCATGGTTTCAGAAGACAAGACTTGTAACAATTTCGTTTTTTCTTTGTAAGGCTCAGTATCATATCATAATTGTATTTTAGAAGTACTTGTTTTTAATTCAATGTCTGAAAATCCAAGTTATACTCACAGTTCACTTTCTAAGGATGAAATTCTTCAAAAGCGCATTTCAGTGTTTAATACTTTTAACATTCCAGTCAACCAAGGTGAGATCAATCTTCCCAACCTATACTGAATTTCTAAACTTTATAAAAAAAATTTTTACAAAGATACTTTGCTGGGTCCAGCAAATGGTCTACCAAACCCCAATCTTTACGCCTTAAATATGAACTATTATGAAGGAGAAATTTGATATGAACTGTGCTACAGCATGTTCTAGAAGTGATGTAAATCAGGTATGAATTCTCAAAAACTCCAAAGAACTTTTAGAAAATTTAAATTGACAACATTTTTTCTCAAGTCCATAAAATCAAAATGTATGACTTTTTATACTCTATACAATCATCCCTCACGGTAAATTTAAAAAAAAATACTAGGCGTTTTGAAATCATAGACAACTGGTTGTTCAACAAAAATGAAACTCGAAAATTTTCATATCCTGTGATTGGTCATCAACAACATTACCTTGTAAAGGATTACTTTGATTCTACACACAAGTACTCTGAAGTTGATATTAAAAGGATGCTGGAGTTCCTCATTGAAAACATTTATGTTGTCTTCCGAGACGAGGCCTTCCAACAAACTGTTGGAATTTCGACGGGCACTAATTGTGCTCCTTTATTAGCTGACCAGTTTTTATATTCAAGAAATTCTACATGAGAAGGAGAAAACACTTGTGGCCTTCAACTCGACATTTAGTTATATTGACAATGTATTATCAATTAACAATAGTAACTTTCATTCATATGTCGATTCCATTATTTCCATATATCCCAGTGAACTTGAAATTAAAGACACCAGAGTCTACCACATCTGCCTCATATTTGGATGTTTCACTGACTATGGACGATAAGTGCCAAGGAATTACTAATTGTATGACAAACGAGATGATTTAAGCTTTTCTATCGTCAACTTTCCTTAATTATGCAGTAATAATTCTGTTCATCAGCATGTGGTGTTTACGCTTCCCTATTTATTTGATACTCAAGAGCATGCTCTGAAAAGAACATTTGTTTTTGAAATGAGGCAGTCTACTGACAGATAAGTTGATGTTATGGGGACTTCAAAATCCCCGTTCAAAGTCAGCATTTCCAACATTCTATTATCGTTATAATGACCCTGTTAACAAATATATACTTTCATTGGGTTGCATTATGACTTACGTGTTTTATACCAATTGTTAGGGCTTTGTTTTATACTAAATTTCATTATGGAATATTAAATCTTCATGTTCAATAGATAGGGCTCCCGGCGGGTGTAACCGGTCAACAGATGATGCTTACTCATCCTAGGTACCTGATCCCATTTGCTTTAAAAATCATGTTCAAACGCAAATTCTTTTATTACAAAATTATACATTCAGCAGAATCATTTCGTATTTACACAACATAAACAACACCAACACGTTATACAAGTTAGCCAGCCGTGCGTACGAGGACGCCGAATTTTATTGAAAATTTACAAAACATTAAATCAGTATTTACATATATACATGACATTGTATGCAAATAACTTGAAAGATTAGCAAAACCTAGCTGATAAGAAACAACTAGGGTTTTTGCTGCTTTTGATGGAATAGCAAAAATCCTGTTATGGTTCGTAACTTATTATTTACCAGATTTGACTGAAATGTATTACAACAATATTGAGACTTTCATAAAATCATTAATGCAGAATCCAAGTATAATACTGCATAAAGGGAGATGACTCTTACACCATTATGAAATACTCCCTTTATATTATACTCTGTGTATACAATCAAATATGCTTTACAACAAAATATATTATTATTACTAAGTTTATAATATCTACAAAGACATTATATACTTTTTTTTAAATAACCAATTTGTCATTAAAACAATACCATACCGTTCTGAGGAAATAGACAAACTCCTGACTATATCTTACATACAACATTGAAGCAGGGAGTTTAGATGATCTAGCTATAAAACGCATAAATTCTCATAGACTTCATATAATTCTCTTATCATAAAAAAGATCATATTTCTGGAATATAAAATACACTAGCTTTACTGCTGCTAATAACTTTTTAAAAATAAAATCTTACTTTCAAATTATCTTTCTAACTGAACAATACTGCCATGGAGATTTATATAGCCAAAATTATAGGTTTCATAATAATAATTAAAAAATATATTAATGAAACAGTTCTCTACTACACAACAAAATCAGTTTCTATTGGCCAATTCCTGACCAATCCACTTTAGACGTACATATTAACATATTGTCATCAAAGTTACGTAATGAGTCCGAATCAAGTGTTTCTTTCTTTTTCATCTCTTTTTTTTTTTTTTTTTTTTTTTTTAGAATTTTATATCAGAAAGCGAAAGACATATGAAAACATATGAGCATAACGAAGTTTTGTCGAACTCACCTGCATTGTAAAGCAAGAAAGACTACAAAATTTAAGGTTGTATTTATCGCATCATTGTTATCGTCTTTGTCAAAGCCTCGCAACTCGAATTAGCGTAAAACTTGTAAATAGCATTGAATTAGAGCATGCAAAGGTGAGGAATAAGTTCTGATAATCTTTTTTAAAGATTGTATCAAAATCCTCGATCATCTGACATCATGGTAATTCAACTTTTCTGCACACTCATACAATAAAGAGAAAGTAGTAAAGCAATGTCTTGGGGCAGTAAATTTTTTCCGCCATAGACAATTTTTTTTAGTTTTTTAAACTATATTTTCTGAAACCTGATATTTTCAAGAATCAAACAGAATTTGCACTGTTTATGCAAAAATTCTATTTTAGTTAATTTTCAGGTTCAAATTGCTTCGCAGTGACGCTTTAAGAATAAATAACACACACAATTTTTTCCCTCCAAAATTCAAATACCTTTGCTAAAATAGGCGCCTCTCTCACTAAAGAAGTGCAGTTTGTTTAGTTTAACAACTTCATGTTTGGTCAAGCCATATAATTTGGTGAAAAGTGGTAAAATGGATTTTTTACACTTCAGTATTATTTTTGAAAGGTTTTTAAAATGTATGAAGTTTTCTTACTGCAAAGTTTCTGGGGACATGTTCAAGAGTGTATTTTTAAATTTTATACAATTAAAATTTCTCAATATTATTTCCATTAAAAGAAATATTGAAAAAAAAGTACCAGTGTGACTTTTCTGTTGAGTGGATAAGAAAATTCGTTTGTGGTATGTATCTTTAAAAAACGCCGGGAAATTAAAGTATAAGACCCGGCTAGCTGTTAAGCAGTCTTGTTAAAGAAATGGAGTGGAGAATCCGGGTATCGATCCCGGTACCTCTCACATGCAAAGCGAGCGCTCTACCACTTGAGCTAATTCCCCTGTTACTATCAGTATTTGGACTTTGTGTAAATACATCAGACCCTGAGGCAACATTCATTTCTTCTTTCGAATAATTATCTGTCATTATGTAGGTATTACCACACGTGGAAACGTACATTGTAAACCTCCAGTGTGTATTCTCAATCTTTATACATAGGCGTCGGAACCGCGGGGGAACCGCTAGCCGCCCCCCCCCCCCCCCCGTTCCGACGCTTATGTATAAAGAATGAGAATACACACGCTTAGCCTCCCACTTTTTTGTAAAGATAGACATAATATAGGCATTGAAAATTAGGGCTTACCTTTTTTTTGTTGGTTTAGCACCCCCCCCCCTTTCAATCAGGTTCTCAATGGTTAGTTTACATGTAACTTAACGCCTTATGAAAAATAAATACTTAAAACGAATTTTTTCCTCTCCTTTAATTTCAAGAATGGTTAATGTCTTAAATGCAACTTTACATACTGTAAACCAACTATTATTCGCGTCAACTTTTATTTGCGATTCGTCAGTTTGAAATCAATCCGCGACGATTAATTTTCTCGGTTGAGGAGACATTCTCTACAAATGCAAAGGAAAATAAATGGTTCGCGGCGATTAATATTCCCCTGTAAAAGTTAGTCGCGAAACTCGCGAATATTTCTCGCACGCGAATAAAAGTTGGTTTACAGTAATTACATTAACTAAAAGTTTTCCATTGTACATGTACTTACTTAATAGATATACATGTATACTATAAAGCCCAAATTGGTTTAGGAAAAGTTAATCCATTGTTTATGAATATGGGTTAGACAGCAGACTTTGTATTGAATGAAAAAAC